CCACAAATAACACAATGCACAACATGCAAATACTACACACACCACATAAATACACATATAAAAACATACCATATATGTGTACACACACATATACATATACATCACACACAAATATACATGTACACTTACAACATAAACATTACACATATATACTGTACACACCACACACACATACACTATATATACATATAATATATACCGTATACAACATATATACCATACATACTCTGCATATACCCATACACTATACATCTCCCATATCATACAATTATACCACACATACTCACATACACATACATATCCCACACACCACACACAATATAATGCACACACATATACATATATAACACACATACACTGTGTATTGCACACACACCATGCATATAAATATACACTACACACATACATGAACATATACAACACACATACATGTGTGCACACCACACATACTCTATACACAAATCCAACACAAAACAAAACACACCACACCACACATACATACAACATGTACACATCTTATACCACACACATACCATACACATAGATATACAACATACGCACATGCATGAACACATGCAACACACACTCCATACATAACCCCACACACATACACATAGTACATATACCAACCACATATATAAACCTTATATATATTGCATATAGCATATAAAACATACACATCATCCACAATGTGCACACCCCATCACAAATGTGTACCACATACATACACACCATCTAATATACCCACAATACATACAAACACACTATATACAACATGCAGACCATACACACACACTACAACATAAATACCACACACCTTATGCAAACACAAATACAATTCAATGCACACAATGTACACTCACACCACACATACACACCATATACAATATATACATAACACACCATATACAACTCACTTACATATCACCCACATACCACATGTCACACACACTGGTTGGTTTCTTGTCAAATTGACACAAGCTAGAGTTATCTGAGAAGAGGGCACCTCAGTTGGGAAAATGCCCCCATCAGATTGGTCTATGGGCAAGCCTGTGAGGCATTTTCATGATTGATGACTGATGTGGAAGAGCCCAGCTTACTGTGGGCGGTGCTACCCCTGAGCAAGTGGTCCTGAACTGTATAAGAAAGCAGGCTGCATAAGTCATAGGGAGCAAGCTATAAGCACTGTTTCTCCATGGCCTCTATTTCGGTTCCCACCTCAGGTGTCTCCACTTGTGTCCCTGCCCCAAGTTCCCTCAGTGATGGTCTGTTACCTGGAGAGTCCTCCTGCTGGGTCTGATCTAGAGGAGATGTCCTTTTGGTTTGGGTGCACATAAATATTTCTCTCATTGAATCTGTGTAAGAAGCCACTTTTACAGTTTATATGCCCATTCACATTTGTAATTGTTTCTCTATCCTATATAAGCAGAACCTGATGGCATGAATTAATATTATAAGAATAGTTTCCATTTTGCATGGAGCAGTGAACACAGGCTAAGCTTTCTTATCCAAGAGAGCAACTGATGCATTTGATCACTTAGTGGATCAGTTATTTAAATATGAATTAAATCTGTTTTGGGACAGGATTACAGTTAGTTTATCAAAGCAGTCCAGCAATATGTTGTGTTCATGAATATTCTTCTTGGGTTTATTTGATGAGAAGTATGATACCAGGAATGGGTAATATAAAAATGGTGTGTATGTGTGTCTTGCATACATTTCTTACAATTAGGTCATGAGGACTCCAAGAACTGAGCCAGTTTCTAGAGAGTTTGAAGAACCCTTCTGATATTAGTGGATAAATAACCAAAATTCTGGGGGCTGGAGAGATGGCTCAGTGGTTAGGAGCACTGACTGCTCTTCTAGAGGTCCTGAGTTCAATTCCCAGCAACGATATATTATAGGATCAGATGCCCTCTTTTGTCATGCAGGAATAATGCAAGCAGAGCACTCATATATATAAAATACATAAATAAATAAATCTAAAAACGATCCAAAGTTCTGATGAAAAGTACAATTTGAAAAACAAACATATTAGAACAAATAGATCACAAACTGCTTCTACATGCTAGGGTCAACACAAGTTTTCAAATTGGGAAACAAACATACCATTGTGTGTTTACATAAACTGGCACTGTTTCTTACATGAAGCATGTCTCTTGATTATTTATAACAGTATCTGTAGTGAAGATATTATTTCTATTTTAAAATAAAACTCTCTTGTGCATTGCTAGGATGACCCCAGCTAAGACTCCTAGCAGTAGTGGAGAGGGTGTCTGAATGGGCCTTCTTCTTTAATCAGATTAGTGACTACCCTAATTGTCATCATAGAACCCACATCCAGTAACTGATGAAAGCAGATACAGGGACCCACAGCCAATCACTGGACTGAGCTCTTGGAGTTAAGTTGAAGAGAGGGAGGAGGGATTATATGAACAAGAGGGGTCACGAGCATGATGAGAAAAACCACAGAGACAGCTGACCCGAGCTAGTGGGAGCTCATGGACCATGGACTGACAGTTGAGTAATCTTCATGGGACCGAACTAGGCCCTCTGAATGTGGGTAACGGTTATGTTGCTTGAAGTGTTGTTGGTGGTGGTTGGGTGCTGGCGGGACATACAGGTACATGAACTGACTTGTTGGAGCTCATTCTCTACGGAGGGATGCCTTGCTCAGCCATGATACGGGGGAAAGGGCTTGGTCCTGCCTCAACTTTATTGACTCCCCAAAGAAGGCCTTACCCCCTCTGAGGAGTGGATGGGGGTAGAGTGGGGGGAGGTAGGGGGCAGAATAAGGGGAAGGAGAGGGAACTGGGGTTAGTATATAAAATAAAAAACAAAATTTTTAAATAAAAAAATTAAAAAATAGAAAAGAGTAGGTAATTGCTTTAGACTCAGTATAAAAGTAAGTAAATAAGTATATTAAAATTTGCAAAATTCCAGGAAAGCAATAAACATATCTAATGTGTTGAATCATGTACCTCAAGAGTATAGATTGTGTTTAGTACCTGATAATAAATAGTTTGGACTGGAAGAATCAATGAATGCTTGCCCAGATATCATTATATTTTGATTGATGTGATCTTCTGTTTGAGTAAATGCATATTAAAAAGATAAATAGAACTGCAGTTATAGGCATCTCTGGAAAGGGTTGCAGAGGTCATCCAGCAGTCAGATGCACAGATAAGCAAGAGGGAGGCAGAGTAGAAACCCCCATCCTAAGGCTGGTTAGAAGAGACCAGACTTGCACCCAAGACTTGTGACACCCAAATCAGGGTTTCTCATTTCAAAAAACACCACTCACTAGATTGAACTTCAATTTGAGGTCATAGGGAAGACTGAGATGGCACTGGGAAGGTGACTCAGTGGGTAAAGTCCATGTTGGCACTGGCACTATTCCTGGAGAAACGGCAAATGTTTACTCACCCCATAGAGGGAACTGACAACAGGCCAAAATAAGGACAGCATCAAAGCCCAGTTTAGTCACCTGATGGGTTTTATTGGGGTTACTTACAGGAGTATAGGTAAGGGGTTACTTACTAGAGCAGAGATGGCTCAAAGACAGCTGCATCACCAAAGCCCACCTGAGCCAGGGTATCAGCTTGTGAAAACTGAACCTGGAGCACACTGCACAGCTGCAGGCAGCTGAGCGCGTTGGAAAGTGTCTCTTTCAGGCAGCTCATGTGGTCTTAGCCCCTTCCAGGCAGGTTGGCTGGTCTGCCTCTCCTGGGCAGTTAGGTTTATCTGAGATCGTCTCTCCACAGACCTTACTGCTTATAGATACTTGGAGAAAGAGGGAGTTAGTGAATCTGACAAGTTTCTGGGACTTACTTCCTGAGCTTAAAGAGATTTCCTGTAGGGTGAATTTTTTTAACCTACCTTAGGACATCCTGTTTCTTAACAAGTTCCCCTCCAAGATGAAATGTTTTATTTTAGAGAAGTTTGGTACACAATGGGGGAGCACATGCCTATAATCAAAATGCTGGGAGGTGGAGACAGGAGGATCCTAGAGACTTTCTGCTCGGCCAGTCTAGCTGAAATAGTGAGTTTCAACTTCAATGAGAAAGAACCTGTCTCAAAAAATAAAAGGATAGCATTATAGAGGAAGACAGCTGATGTTGACCTCTGATTTATACACACACACACACACACACACACACACACACACACACACACACACACATACACACACACACACACACACAGAGAGAGAGACAGAGACAGAGAGAGACAGAGAGAGACAGAGAGAGAGAGAGACAGAGAGAGAGAATATGTAGAGTTTCATCTCAATCCAAGCCCAACACATTAAAATTTATCATTGTAACTCTCGGAAGCAGAAGAAATAACCTTATTTGTGGTGCATTTCTGCATTTCAGATTGAGTAGAATTTATGTGAAACATTATCTGAAGTTATCCCTAGTATTGGGTGCTTTAAACTGTCAGACATTCCTTGGGTTTCTCTAATACCAATATTAGTTTATCTGCAAATTAACAACATTTTTAGAAAGGAATTTCAGAAAAATTTTTTCCTCTTTATTGAAATTGAATGTCAGATTATTACTCATGTCATAACTTTTGGTTTTGTAGTATTATAATAATAACTTTTGAAAACAAGGTAAAATAAGGATAATAATAAAAACATGACAATGATAATATTAACGGTCATTAGATTTTCTGTTATGTATTTAATCAAAACTGTGAACACTTGCCTAATAATTCAGTCTTATCCTGCAATACTTACTCTGGATTGGGTGGCATAAAAAAACACAGTGACTTTTTAATTCTAATTATTTAGTATTCTCTTTACTTTGTAAGAAAGCTCATGTATCACAGAAATCAATATAATTTAATGTGAAATGATTCTGTAATATTGACCCTATATATTAAAACATTGAAGTTTGAATACTTACTTGTAAATATTTTTCTTTTGTATTTTCCATAGATGGCCAGTACATACGAGTTTTTCTATGTGCATTGCTTTTTTATTTATTGTTTTCCAGGCACACATATCTGAAGTAAGATGATTTATCAGAAATTCTATGTGGTGTTGTTACACTGGGGTAAGTAGCACGCACCTTTGTGTATTTGGAAGGTTATTTCTGTAGATTAATTTCTAAGGAGGAACTTTTGTATTGTAATAGTAACTTTGGTGTTTTGTGGTCCTAACCTATGCCTAGAAATAGCTGTTCTTATTTAGTTCCACTAGCAATGCATGCTGCCATTCTTTCACCTCTCACCCCATCACACAAGACAAATGATTGCATTTCAGTTTTGTTTGTGTGTGCGCGTGCATGCCCATCTGTCTATCCATCTGTCTGTCTGTCTATGTGAGGTTGGCAGTTAGTTGACTGTATTTCCAGTAAGATTTTTAGTTTATACTTTCCAACTATCTCCTTGGGTTTTATTGGTCTTAGACAAATTTTAGAATTTTCAAAAATGCAATGGACTTTCAGCTTGTGTTAAAGCTCCATGAAGAAACAGAACTGATGGTGTGAAGATGTCTAGAGACAGCTGAATCATGCAATTACAAAGTCTGGGTGATCCTAAAATCTGCAGTAGGAAAACTACAGACCCGGGAGAACCAATGGTGTCGAAGTGCAAAGGTCTGAAACACACACACACACACACACACACACACACACACACACACACACACACCATCATCCATATTTATAAATGCAGGTGTATACCTTTGTAGTAATGGCAGTATGATGTTTTAAGGGGATATTATCAAGGAATGGTGTATATGTTTGGAATGGTCACTGAATACCACAACTTTTCAAGAGAGTTAAATACATCTCTCCTCTCACCCATTGTAAACTTGTCTTTCAGAGAATGCTTCTTTAGACGTTTTATGTATGTTTTTTAATGGTATTGTAGTTGGAGCAAACCATAACATTCTCCTGTTTGAAAATGGACATACATTGCCCATAACCATTTTGTTTTTGTTTTTGTTCACGTAGGGAAACCTAGTTTATTATTTAGTTTTTGGTGCTTAAGACTTTTTTTTTCAAATTCATTTGTAATTGTAAAGCATTTGTTTTTTGTATTATGTGTTTACCACATAGGAAATGTTTTGGAGTCTGTAAAATATGGGGAGTTAAAATCAACTGATAAGTGTGATTTCATTATCATTTTGGTGCTTTGAGTACTTAATATCTGCCCCCTAACATTTTCCGAGGATGTCTATATTGCCATTATCTATAGTTGGCACACTGTGTGTTAGGTCTTTGACCTTCCTCCTATCTATCTGCAAATACATGTATCATTTGACTAACTCATCTACAACTCCCTCTGCTATCTCATGGTTCACATCCTGCTCTCTACCTGTATAAGGTCAATTAATTTAGAATTCACATGGCCATGAGATCATGTGGCATTTGCCTTTCTGTGCCTGGTTTTACTTAACACATGCCCTCCATGTGTTGACAATGGTGGCTTCCTTCTTTTTATGGCTGAATATCTGCTGTAATACAGTGGATGTACGTTGATTGTCTCCCAATGAGTCATTGTGATGGGAGATTTGGTCTTTGGGTGATGGTATCAGGAAGAGCTGTGGACCCTTTAAATCATAGGTCCTAGTGGGTTGTGACTCCTGGAGTTCTCATAAAAACACTGTCCTATTCAACAAGCCTGGGTTTACCTAACTCTCTACTCATGACTGGAGATATGTTCACTTGTTTGACCCATAGTTTATTCCTGCCATTGATGTTCACACCATCAGGTTGCCTTCCTCGAGCATTTGTTATGTTGCTTAGACTTCCAGTCCAAAACTAAGGCCCCTTTGTTGTAAAGTTAGGCTGTGTCCAATATTTCATTATAGAAATGAAAAGCTGGACAGTGCAGTGTGTACATAAACAATCCTTTACCCATTCATTTGCTAATACTTAGGTTGATTCTATATCATGAACAGCGCTGTGATCAGCATGAGTGATTTTGTTTTGTTTGGTAGATGTCCCATAGTACCATTGCTGGACTACATTTTTTGGTTTCTGAGGCACCTCTGTACCATTTTCCATAATAGCTGTACGGATGTCCAGTCCCATCAACAGTGTGCAAGGATTCTTCTTTCTTCTGACCTTGGCTAATGCTTGTCAGTTTCGTCTTTTTGAGAATTGTTTTCTAACAGGAGTGGGGTGATGAATCACTGTGATTTTGATTTTGACTCATCTGCTGATGAGTGAAGATGAACGTTTTCTCACACACGCATTGCATTGTCACTTGTTTGTATACATTCTTCTGTTTCAGTGTACGGGTGTTTTGCCTGCATGTATGTCTGTGCATCACACGCATACCCGGTTCCTATGGAGGCCAGAAGAGGGTTCTTATTCTCTGAGACTAGTTACCGAACTTTGTAAACTACCACGCATGTGCCAGGAATTGAACCTGGGTCTTCCATGAAGAGTAGCAAGTGCTTTTAACTGCTGAACCACCTCTCTAGCTCCTTGTGTATCTTCTTTAGGCAGATGTTTGTTTAAGTCTTTGGAACATCTTCAAATAGTGTTTTTTTAAAAGAGTATTTTTAATTCTTTGAGAATTTTATACATGTATACAATGTATCTTCATTATATTCAACCCCCACCCCCATACTCCCAATAAACACATCTCTTTCCCAAAGTTCCTTGTCTTTTTAACCCACTGAGTTCAGTTAGTGCCACATGGGCTTGGGGTCCCTTGTTTACTTTGGATGTTAACACCATATTAGACACATAGTTTACTGACATCTGAACAGTCACTCTGTTTAGTATTTCCTTTGCAGTAATGAATCTAGAGTCTGACATCACATTGGTCTACTTTTTTGTGACAATTGCTTGTGACTTAAGAGTATGTCTCAGAATATCACATAGTTTAATCTTAGTGATTCCCAGCTTTACTTCAGTCTTGTCATAGTTGCAGGTCTGCTGTTTAGGCCACTGATCCATGATGCTACTTTTGTATGTGATGAAAAATGAGGGTATAGTTTTTTCTTTTGTTTTTTTTTCTTATGAATACCCATTTTTCCCAGTACCATTTACTAAAGATACCATTCCTTTTCCAGGGAATTTTTGACAAGTAGTTTTGTTGAAGCTTTGTTGGTTCTAGATACACACTTTTATTTCTGAGTTCTCAATCATGCTCTGTCGATTCAGGCATTGTTTTCTTGTCAGCATTGTGCTGTTTTACTTACGTGACTTGGTCCTATATTTGGAATCAGCTTTGCTCTTTCTTCTTCTTTTTTTTTTTTTTTGAGACAGCATTTCTGTTTATATGCCTGGCTGTCTTAGAACTTGCTCTATAGATCAAGCTGGCCTCAACCTCAGAGATTCGCCTGCTTCTGCCTCTGAGTGCTGGGATTAAAGGTGTGTGCCACCATGCCTGGCTAGAGGCAGCTTTGTTCTTGGCTATGATTTCTTTGACTTTTGGTGGTGTTTTTGTAGTTTCATATGAACTTTTGCAGTGTTCACCTTGTGTTGTTAAGTATGTTACTGGCATTTTGATATGGATTACATTGAATTTGTGCACTGATTTGGGTAGTAGAATTTTTTTTAATTTAAAAAATTCTTTAAATTGTATGGAAATAGAATATTTTCCAGTTGTCTTTAATTTCTTTCATCCATGTTCTATAGTTAGCATAGAAATCTTTCACTTCCTTGACACAGTTTTTAAAAAAATATAGTTATTATAAATGGAACGCTTCCCTCTTTTTATTTCTTTCTCCCTTCTTTTGGATGTCACAGTGTTGCCCAGGCTGGTCATGAAACTGACGGCACCAGTGATCTTCCTGTGTCAGCCTCCTAAGTAGCTAGAACTGTAAATGTTCCATAGGTGTATTTTTTTAAAAAATTCTTTTTCCTGTATTTTGATGTTTATTGACATCTAAAGTCTATAGTTCCCACCAGGATTCACTTTTGTCCATCCTGTAGCCCTGGAAAAACAAATGACGATGTTTCTCCAGTACTATAGAATCAGATAGAGCAGTGTCCCTGCTTGTCCCCCCACATCCTGCTTATTCACCCCTCTGCTCAACTTAAATCTTGGCAACCAACTTCCTTGGTGGAATCAAGCAGATCGTGTCACTGCGATGGATTCTTAGGGATACACATGTAAATTTCGTCTGTTTTTTCATGGCTTGATTTTATATTTCTCCTTTGAACTAAATATTATGCCTCTGATTGAATTATGCACTTTATTTATCCACTTAGACACTAAAGAATATTCTGTTTGCTTCTTTTTATTTATATTTTATTACATTTAATTATTAAAAAACTCGCATTCCTTGCATAATTCTCAAAACCCTCACACTACGTAGGTTAGTGAATATACACAGTGAGAAGGTCATCAGACTATTCAGATTCATTCATAACATAAAGAAAGGTAGAGAGTTAATTGTTTATTTTCAAATTTTTCTTGCTTAAAGATCAGCTTAGAATTTGAGGTTTTTGGGGTACAGTTCTGCGAATGCTCTTAGTTTTATGTTTAAAAGGTAATGATTTGTCTGCAGTGTGAATTTCCTGGAGGGAATCTCTGGTTTTGCATCATTTCCTGGGGAGTGTGTGGGGCCTTTCCTATGGGCATTATACATCTGGAGGCTTCTGGGAAGGTTCAAGAGACCTTGCAACTATCTTTAAGTCAGACAAACTTTCTCCGAGAGCCTTCAGTGAAAAGTGTTAACATACTGTGTGACTATTCCAATGACTATTAAGAGGGCTTTAGTGCTTATTGTTGTAATCGAACCTCCAGATATTTCTTATTTATTCTGAAAGTTAGAATAATTTTGTTGTATAAAGGAAGAGAATTCATGTAAATTATCTCATACTAAAATATAAACTTGTTAGATTAATGAGGAAAATTGACATGAAAAATTTCCAAAGGAGAAGTGCCAGAGAATGACATTAGATCAGTAACTATATCGAGTTCTCAGGTCTAATACACTGGAAGGTGAGAGCTCAGAGTTGCTCATTAGGTACTTACTCGGCACTCTCGAGGTTAAGCATGTCTGAGTACTGCACTATTTAGTCTCAAGCACTTTCTAGTTACAGCTTTGTCAAAATGATCACTGTTCCCTGTGTCTTTTTCCTGTCCTAACAGAATTTCTTTATGTGATAGCTGCACTTAACCTGGCATATCCAATTTCTCCCTGGAGATTTAAGTTGTTTTGTGCACCGCCAAATACAACGGATAGCTCCTTTCTTTCACCTGCTGGAATCTCAAAGAATGCTTCTGCTTTGAGTGGGGCCTATGAAGCAGCTTTCGAAGCTAACTTGAATGCAAGTAGTGTCTACGTTTCTGAGTTATCCAAAACCATTTTCCACTGTTGCTTTGGGAATGACCGAGGTAAAAACTGCTCTGTGCTAGCTGGCAACACTGAAGGGAAGACACTGGCTTCAATGGTAAAGGCCTTAACTTTTCACCAGCTAGGTGAGTACTTTTGTATTCACTGTTATGTTATGTCTGTATCCATCAAATGTTTTAATTCTCTAAATCTTGTATGAATTGTATATATTAGTGCATAATTAACATATACTATAAATTTTACATATTAAAATTATGATTCATTGTGTGAGTAATAAATATGCCCTGATCATTTTATAACTTATAAAACTGTCATTAAGGGGACTCTTTTACTGTTGAATATCCTCTTTAGAGTCTAAATTTTCTTGGGAACAGAAAAAAAAGCACACTTTAATTAGATAAAATATCAAATTACTAGCACCACTGTTGAAGCAGTGAAATTTCAAAATGTTTACAAATGATAATGAATTGTACAGGAAAAGAATCTTCCAGAAACAGTGTGCTATGCTGAGAGAGTATAATTGTTGTCTTAAGAATAACACACACTAAAAGCAGCAAGCTTTGTTAATTTTGTGTATAAAAATTAAAACAACAAAAGTATTTCTAAGTCTTCTGAAGGTGCAGGGAAGACTCAATCATATGAAGAGACCACAAATAGGGAAGAAGGGGCATACCTAAGTAAGGACTCTGGTGCGCTGTTAGTTGGTATTCCCCAGTTGGTATTAATGACCCTCCAGTTCACATAATTCTTCAGGCTGACCTCTGTTCTGCAGAATGCTTAATGGTAGTCCTGGTCTCCATGCAGCAATGAAGGAAATATCTTTATCTGTAACTGCAATAAACATCTCCAGTCTGTCATAGTGGCATATGAAAGGCCAAGACAGGAGGACTGTGAGTTCCAGACCAGCCTGGGCTACGAGTAAGACCCTGTCTCAGCAACCAAACCAAACAAAAGAAATCAGATGTTGCCAGATGTTCCCCCATCTACTTGGCTTAGCACTGCTGATTATGTGGAAGAGTGCCTGCTGCTCTTGCACAGGACCTGGGTTCAATGACTCAGAGGTTAAGAGTACCTGCTGCCTTTGCAAAGGACCTGTTTCAGTTCTTGGCACTCATGTAAAGAGACTCACAACCACTCGAACTCCAGTTCCAGGTGTTCTGATGCTCTCTTTTGGCCTCTGTGAACCTGCATGCCTTTGGTGAACTTAAACTCCTGCAGGCACACACACACACACAGAAATAAAACAAAATAAATCATTGCAAAAATAATAATGATAAAACTTATTTTATAAAACTAGATTTTAAAAACAAGTTAATAGGAATAATTCCAATTAAGTTCATAAATGCTAATGCCATTTTGAATGAAGCTTTTTTTAATTAGTAAGGGAATAACAATCTATTCATTGATTATTAAATATGCTAAGACTGAACAGAATCTTAATAACGAGCCTTGGATGATAAAAATATCAATACATTTTTATTTTTGAGGGGTAAACGAATACCATACTATGTATTTTAGTTTTATGTTATAAATGGGTAGTAACTAGTTAACTCTTAAGTGAATTAAAGTTTTTGTGACTAAAATAAGGAGGGTAAGTAGTGGCTACCAAAGATTTCAACTTTTTTATTCTTTCATATAGGTTTCACCTTTATACAAGATACCCAATGACTAGAAATACTTCTCACTTGGAGAAAGTTGTTAGTATTATCTTAAGTTGATTTTGTCTTGATATCTATATACATATATGCATATACACACACACATATATATATTTCATCTTTATTTACACATATATGTGTATGTCTGTGTGAACGATGGCACACATGCTTGGTGACCTAAAGGGGCCAGAAGATGGCCTGTGGTCCCAGGGAGCTGGCATTACAAGTGGTTACCTAAAGGGGCCAGAAGATGGCCTGTGGTCCCAGGGAGCTGGCATTACAAGTGGTTACCTAAAGGGGCCAGAAGATGGCCTGTGGTCCCAGGGAGCTGGCATTACAAGTGGTGACCTAAAGGGGCCAGAAGATGGCCTGTGGTCCCAGGGAGCTGGCATTACAAGTGGTTACCTAAAGGGGCCAGAAGATGGCCTGTGGTCCCAGGGAGCTGGCATTACAAGTGGTGACCTAAAGGGGCCAGAAGATGGCCTGTGGTCCCAGGGAGCTGGCATTACAAGTGGTGACCTAAAGGGGCCAGAAGATGGCCTGTGGTCCCAGGGAGCTGGCATTACAAGTGGTGACCTAAAGGGGCCAGAAGATGGCCTGTGGTCCCAGGGAGCTGGCATTACAAGTGGTTACCTAAAGGGGCCAGAAGATGGCCTGTGGTCCCAGGGAGCTGGCATTACAAGTGGTGACCTAAAGGGGCCAGAAGATGGCCTGTGGTCCCAGGGAGCTGGCATTACAAGTGGTTACCTAAAGGGGCCAGAAGATGGCCTGTGGTCCCAGGGAGCTGGCATTACAAGTGGTTACCTAAAGGGGCCAGAAGATGGCCTGTGGTCCCAGGGAGCTGGCATTACAAGTGGTTACCTAAAGGGGCCAGAAGATGGCCTGTGGTCCCAGGGAGCTGGCATTACAAGTGGTTACCTAAAGGGGCCAGAAGATGGCCTGTGGTCCCAGGGAGCTGGCATTACAAGTGGTTACCTAAAGGGGCCAGAAGATGGCCTGTGGTCCCAGGGAGCTGGCATTACAAGTGGTGACCTAAAGGGGCCAGAAGATGGCCTGTGGTCCCAGGGAGCTGGCATTACAAGTGGTTACAGGTAGTTGTCTTGATTTCTTCTGAAAGGTAAACAGTAATATAAATAAAAACGAGTCTTGTCTTGTTTAGGGAGCTTGAGATTAAAAACAAGTTGAGAAATAATCATTGAATTTAAGTTTCTGATTTAAACAGGTCTGGCAGAGTGGCGGGAGAGGGAGCGCTGAGTTACTAAACTGAGGGTCAAAGGCAATGGTTCATGCAAACACACTCCTAACAGGGCCTGTTTTTCCCCTCTCAGAATGGGCCGAGGAAGCAGTAGCAGAATAACTGCTAAATTCATTTTAGCGCTTCTCTTTGGGTTGTTCAGAGCATTTTTGCAGGTGCAATGCAGTTTATTTTTAATGCAGGTGTAAACTGGGACATAGAGTGCTGGATGAAAGGGGACTTGACATCATTCGTCTGTCATATGGAGCCATCCCTGAAGAGCCCCTTCAAGAGTTACGACTCTAAGGTCCACCTTTTTTATGATCTGTGAGTACCAGTGAAATCGATTTGGCTAGTCATATGACCTGATTTGTTTATAGTACACAAGTAGATTTTGAACCCCTCCCCTCCCTGCTCTTTTGTAGCTGTGTATGTTATAGAGATTGGTTTGAATGCTTTATATCCATCTTCTCCATCAGGTGTCCCCTTTCTCTTCCTGTTTATTTAGGCACAGAGACACTGCAGCTATGGATGGACATACGGTCTAAAACTGTATGGACACGGTCATATTATTGCTCTGTGAGAACTGGCTAACGTGTTTGGTATTACAGGAGTTATCCTAATGCTTTTTCTGACATATCCCTATCCACTTGCTAACTGAGAGAGGTTTCTCACTGTGTACAAACTTCATTGAGATCTTTGTCAACCTGAGTGGCTTTAGGAAGAAACAACAGACAGAAGTTAAATGGATGGGCAGCAGTTAGAAGGCAGGTGGTGAAGACACCTGCTCGCAAAGGACAGCAGAAGTTGCGGAGTTAAGAACCCAAAGTTTAATAGCAAGCACTGGTGAGAAAAGGAAGAATGAGTGTTTGTGAGGCTTCTAGCCCATGCCGTATTTACTTACTGGTTTTACCAAAAATGTGTACTTTTGTCAAGTGGAATTTAGATTGTGTTTACCCAAATGACCTGGTGAAGCTATTAGGTACATTCAGCCCCCGTGTGTGATTGGTGTGACCATTTCTTTGCATGTGCCGTTCTATTAGTATGAAATGACAGTTGTTTTTAAATGACTGAATAAAAAGTCCTAGGCTTGAAAAATTTATAGTTATAACTTAGGTAGAGTTTAGTTGATTTCCCTGAGTCACTCTGATTAAAAAGGACCACTGATTTGACAATTAATTCTAAATCCAAGTAGGAGCACCTAGTCTACTGACTTACAAGTTTTTTGTTAGTTCTTTACACTAACTGTGTTATACACTGAAAACCCTTGGAAATTCATCTGTGAGCCATAGGCAATGGGCCTTCATTTCTGTCATTAAGTACAATCCATCATATACATATACTTAAGGAGATATATCACAGCCAGGTAGTGGAGGTGCACACCTTTAATTTCAGCACTTAGGAGGCACTGGCAGGTAGATCTCTGTGAGTCTGAGGCCAGCCTGCTCTACAGAGTGAGTTCCAGGACAGCCAGGGCTGTTACACAGAGAAACCCTGTCTTGAAAAAACAAACAAACAAACAAACAAACAAAAAAGATATATCACATTATCATCTCAATTGATGCAGAAAAGACCTTTGACAAAGTTCAACATCCCTTTATAGATGAAAGCCTTGAAGAAATCAGAAATAGAAAGAAGTACTTCAACATAAAGTCCATATATTGACAGACCTATAGTCATGTGTGTGTGTGTGTATGTTTATATTATTTATGTGTGTGTTTGTAAGTCATGAGTCTAGAAAGGGAATCACAAGAGGGGAGAAAATATAATAATGAAATACACATATTTGGGAAGCAAAAGTGGAGAACTAACCCAGGTAGAGAGAGAAGCAGCTGTAGTGGTGAGGGGGCATGTAGGAACAATGGAGAAGAAAATGGCTGAGAACCAAGTGTGAGGGCACATTATGTCAAATGTTTTAATTGTGGCAGACAAGGTTATCTGAAAGGTGATTGTAAACAGGGCATTTCTAGAAATCTTTTTATAAACATAATCCAAACAGAATGCCCCTCCCTTCTTGATTATGCAAAAATGTAGCAAAGGCAGGCATTGGACAAATGAATGTAGGTTGAAAAGAGATTATCAAGGTAATCCTTTGCCTTCAAGACATACCTTGAGGGACCACTTGAAAGTCTCTATACCAAAACTGATTCATTCATTCTCCAGCCACATTGAGGATGGGAAGTCTTAGGATTCTCCAGGCATGCTGAGGAGAGGCAGCAGGATCAGCCCATTCAGCCTGAGGTAGTGGTAAGAGCTAGTGGCCCACTACTGTGCTTTTCTGATCTTTGGCTTAAAGTTTGAACCCAATATCAGTTTCTGGGTCATTTATTTATCCTGCTACGTACATATGTATGAAGAACCTGCATTGAAACCTAGTACTTAGTATTATTATCTAAACAACTAATTAAAAAGAAAACCTCAAAAAGGTACAAAAAATGAAAAAAATAAACAACTGTGAGGAAGGTCAAATAGAGTTCCTATCTTCATTTCTGTGACAGACCATCAATTCACTGAGACCTTGAACCCTGTACACATTGTAAAGGGAGAAAGCTGCTGAGTTGCAGTTGTCCCTCAACAGAAGTGTACCTGGTGACACTCATTTGCCTTCTGTGCTCTGTTTACCATGTCTATAAATAATGGCACGAGACTTACTATGGCACAGGTGGTGCTGGCTCCTGCATGGCTAAGTTGACCATATTCCTTTATCTTTAGTCGGTATATAAGATAGCTGAAATTTTAGAAATACTATGTCTTTTTCTCCATCTCCGCCCTTGTTAATAACTAATAATTGCCAAGAAAGAATACTCAAAGGACACATTTGACAGAGTCCTTGCGCTTAAGATAAATTGGCTCACTAGACACATGGAAAAACCATAGTTGGAGTCTAGTTAATTTTCCATTCAGGGCAGGTTAGAGGAGGAAACCAGCCAACCAAATTATATCTAGCAGATTTCAAAAACATTGAGTGTGCTGGTTCAATTTTTGTCAACTTGACTAAAAAATCTAGACATACTTGGCAAGAGGCACTTTCAACTGAGGAACTGCCTCTGTCAGGTTGGCCTATATACATGTCTGTGGAGTATTTTCTTGATTGCTGATTGATGTAGGAGGGCCCAGCCCTCCATAGACAGTGTCTTCCTAGGCAGGTGGGTCAAGATTGTACAAAAATCAAGGCAATGAGCAGCAAAAACCTTCAAGGTCCTGCTTTGGGTTCCCAAGGTGGTTTTCTCCCATGATGGACAATAACCTATAAGCCAAATAAAGCCTTTCTCCCTCAAGCTGTTTTTGTCAGTGTTTTTATCATAGCAACAGAAAAGCAAACTAGAATCATGGAGAGAGTGGTCATGGCTGCGGTGGAAAGTAATTCCAAAGGACAGATGGACAAATCCATGGCTTGTATCTAGTTGTTAGGGCATTGAACCTCAACCTTGCTTGCTCAGTCTCCATTGGCATTTGTTGTCTATGGGCATAAATCTTCCAGGATTTCCAGACCTTCTGTTTGTGTCATATTCCATGTATACTATATCCAGGGTCATTCTTCTGGTGGGGAAGGGGATTGTAAAATAGTCTACTCAGAATCAAAACCTTGTGAGTTATCTTCTTCCATGTCTAGAAAATTAATTTTTGTGTTGGGTCATGAAATGGAGGTTGCATTTATGGATAGGAAGCTCTTTGCTTCCTTCTTCAGTAGGGGATGTCTACTTCTGAGATGCTTATGCCCAGAAGGTAATTCCTTCTGAAATGCTGTGGGGTTGGAAGCCAGAGAGAATATGTTTTGTATGATATGCAGATACTGATTCCAGGCTGTTGGTTTTGGTTGAGTGTTATTCCAGGATCTTTGGCTTCTTAAGTCAACTCCATTCTGAAGACCACTCTTAACATCTCTGAATGCTTTGGTAAAGCTGTCATACACAATGTTTTATGAGGTATGACTTCATGGCAAAGCTTACTTATTTAGAAATGTTGGGACTTGCTTTAAATTAGCAATTAAATCTATCATTTTATTTTAAGGAAATCACCATTTTGTTCCATCAAAATTCACAAGAGAAACTGTTATGTGTGAAAAAGGTATGTTTTTCCAGGAGGTAAAATTTGATGTTTAAAAAGGATTTAAAAACCTATAAATGTGTCCTCAAAGGGACATCATTGTTTGAGCTCAGATATTAATGTTTGTCTGAGAATCTGAAGGAGAGATACTCTAAAAAGTGTGATATGCTGGGACTGTTTTAGATATTTATTTTTTACCAGGGAGGAAGTTCTTCCTTTCCTTTGTAAGGTCCCTACTGTGAGCCCCACATTTTGAGTTTTGTGTAGGGAAGAGTGTTCACAGCAGGCTTCCCCTTTGTTGTGTGACAAGCCTTTTCCTGGGGAGGCAACACACAATTATTCACTCCAGCTAGGGAGCCCATGACAGACCAAAGTAAGGATGCCACCAAAGTCCACCTTGGTGAACCAATGGATTTTACTGGGGTTACTTAGAGGAATACTGGTGAGAAGTTACTTACAGGAAAAGAAATGATTCAAAAACAGCTGCACTATCAAAGCTTACCCCATCGTTGGTGACGCTTACCAAAGCCAGGAACCTGGAAAACATTGTACACCTGCCAGCAGCTCGGTAGGTTGAGTTTCCAAGTGACTCAGTTGATCTTAACCCCTTCCAGTCAGTGTGGCTTAGTTGATCTAAACCCCTTCCAGTCAGTTTGGCTGATTTCTGGTTCTTATTGTTTACTCAGGAGGAAGGAAGGAAGGGACCTATTGATTCTGATCAGTTTCAGGGACTTTGTGAAGCTATTTGAGTTATTTGCCTTCTGGTTTAAGGAACTTTTCCCTGCAGGATGTTTCAGTCTGGTAGGAAACCCCTTCACAATATCCTTCATTGCAGAGTGATAGGGTGTTGTAAAAACATTAAAATAGCATGGCCAAGTTTGAAAGTGTGACCATGTAATAAAAAGAGAGACAGGACACATGTTCTAAGGATTGTCCAGCACAAATTAAAAGTATTCAGGGAAGAGTGAAGAGCATTTGCAAGTACCCGAGGCACAGACAGCAGAGCTGGAAGACTGAAGGCTGAGTGTGGTTGAACTAGCAAGTCAGTGAACGAGGGAGCAGTGTCCAGGTCATGTTAGGAACTGCCGACTGCCAGGTCATGCTGGGGAGTTACTTTGATCTTCCTGGCTACTAAAGGCTGATTCACTCCTTTCACTCACCAGTTTTCTATCAACATTCGGTGATTTCAAAATCCACATACACAAGGCTTGGATGGTTTCACTGTCCTTATTGACCCCATCTAATTTACCTGTTGTCACGAGCATTCTCCAGACTTCGTC